TAATGTTCTAGAACTGAAAGTTTAAACACTAACCTTAGAGTTAATTATCCTTCTGATTTTACATCTTGATCCGTTTGGAGAAGTCCCATAGTTGGAACCTTTTTCATCCTTTTTCTTGTGAAGAGAAGCTTGCAATATCCCATTAAACTTCAGAACTCCATGATCACCCACTTCCCCAAACTAGATTCCATTGTCAGAGATTGCCGCCTTAACAAATTCTACATAATCAGAACCCTGAAACATTTTCACATTCTACATATCTCAATTACCGTCACATTTCACACATGTCAATTACCGTCTAATTACCTATAACTAAGTTTACTAGAGTAGCTAGAAAGGTTTTAAAGAGCTTAGGAGTTTATATGATCAGGCCAATAAAAGAGCTTAGGAGTTTATACCAGGAGTCACACGTACCTCAAACTTGTCAAAAAGACCAGATGTCTCTTGTATGAAAATTGCAGATCATGCACTGCAGCAAAGCAAGCAGTGTTTCTTAAATGCAAGCTTACAAATATGGCTAATAAACTCATCATATCTTCTTCATTACTATGAATCATATTTCACCTACTTGGAGTTATCGATATGCCAGAAATGAGAGGTCCACAAACACCTCTATCAGGATGCCACGACCAACTCCTCCTGCATCTTTATGATATCAAAGTCCGGTCGGACTACCTCTCCCTATATGAAATGTATAGACTAACCTGTTAGAGGTTGAATCCCACAGGGAGACATTTACAGAAAATCATATACAATGATATAATCTCCTCACCTGAAAGTCTGATCATTGGAGTACATGATCTCAGCAAAATGAACCTTCACGATGTAGCTTCCTCTGATCATACACAAGCAGCTGCATCTTCTTGCCACTTCAATCAGTCCCTTGTATCCATTTTCTCAGAGTCCCGTCCTACTCAACCAACTAAAACAAACGAATTAACCAGACAATTCCATTCACTGTGCTAGTAATTTGGCTATTTCACTCACTTAACTGAGATCATCAGTATACACTACTAGAAAGCTCGTTTGTAAATTCAACCCATACAGGCTTGATGCCTCAATTCAACTGAATAATGAAAGGGACAAAAAGACTTAAAAACACAGGCGAACCTGTTGTTCCAACTTCTGGATCTAGTCATCCTTCAACTTTTGGCTCTCGCAGTAGAAGGGAATTGGTAGCACCAAGAAGAAATATACAGTCGATAAATCACATAAATCTTACAACTTCCTCGCGAAGAACAACGAAAGCTTTACGTCCTTGACGATGCATAGCTTTGATCTTCTGTCGATTCATTGTATTCATTTCAGCAATATGCTGCAAAATACACAGACACATACATACATACATAATGTCATATATATACATTCATTGTATTCTTATGCTGCAAAATACACAGACACATTTCAGCAATATGCTGCAAAATACAAAGACAGCAATATGCTGCAAACCTTGATTATTATCTCAAATCATAAGAATACAAACTTTGCACTTACAACTAATACACAAGTTATAGTATCTTATTGTTCTTTCTTCCTGTCTAAAGAAATATATAATTGTATCTCTAGGAGCTCCAAGTAGTCCCTTCTGCCTAGTGATTGATCTTACAAACAAGTGAATCAAAGAAAAGCTAATAATACTGCAGTGGCTTTTTGCTTGTTTTGTTGTAGCAGTGGTCTAGAGAAGAGTCAGGATGTTTGTTTAGTTTATATTTTTATTGCTCAATTAGTGATATTACATCACAATTAATTCTAAAAAAAGGAAAAGCTAATAACAACGTACCATAGTTTTGCTGTCACTCCAGTAGTCAATCAAAACATTCCAATTCTCCTGGCTTATTCCAGAAGGCTTCTTTGCTCGAGCTTCCTCTGCATCTCGACAATTCAGAAAGATTTGCTTAAGGCGGTGACGTTGTTGCTTGCATTGTCTTTGTAACAACTCATTAATAGAGTCTTGAACAGGCTCTTCTTCAATATCCTCCACTTCTAGTTGCATCTGTTATAAAAAAATGGAACACAAAATGTCAGTAATGTGACATCATAAAAGCTAATAGAATAGGAAACTGAAAATACTTACACCAAGCCTATCATACGCAGATGTTAAATGATTTTTCTTGAACTCCCGGGTCCAGCGAATCGGGATCTCATCCAAATACTCTCGGCTTATCAAACCAAGCTCACTAGACAGCTTGGCAGATTGGACACCGTTAGTTGGTCGACCTTGCATAACGTCGATCTTGATAGGCAACTTCTCCTTACTCATAGCAGCAGCCAACTTGACAGTATCCAAACCTCTGGTCGGGCCTCTTGTGTTGTTCTTCTTTTGATGATTTGGATTTTCATTCTCAGATGAAGAAAACATCCTATCTTCTTCTACCTCGAATTCATTAAGAATGTCTTCTCCTAAAGGTATGTCGTTGGCAGGAGCCTTGATATTTTTTGCAACATTAGGCTGGGCAGATTCGTTCCAAGAAGCAGTCAGGCCTCTAGTTTTTTTCTTCTTCTTCGTATTTGGATCATTATGTACAACTTCTGAAGGTCCACTGTTTGGACGAACATTGAACATCTTTGAAACATTAGGTTGGGTAGATTGTTTCGAAGAAGAAGCAAGGACTCTGTTGCCCTGCTGACTTTGGCTTTTCATGTAGAGTGCCATGATCAACTTATCCTATATAACAGAAATGGAAAAAATCAGCATCCTAATAAAAGTAATAAAAGGATTATGTATTGATCGACTATATTGTTCTAGTTAGATATCATCAAACCATTACACCTAGGATCTATCTCCTTGTCATCTCAGCAAGAAGGTAGGTCTAAATAATTTAACTTTTTAACCACACTAACACAACATAATCAGCCACAATACTGCAGAATGTGGACAAACAGCCAGCTAAACTTGATTAAATATAGACAAAAAATCTCTCAGCAAGCACTTTGTTGGAAGAGAATCGACAGTAACCTCTATAAGGATCCCATCTAGAGAAATTCCTTGTCTCCCCTAACTCAATAAAAAGGAAAAGAACTAGGATCTAAAATGCTCATCTACAGACCTACCATTGACTGCTCGAGGGATGGTTCAGAACACTAAAAATACATTTACTACCGGCTAGAGGAGCAACAATAGAAACAATGAAATGGAAGACCAAGTTCACATGCGACGGAGTTACAGGATCCGAGGAAGAACGGAAGAAGGTATGCAGCAGGCAATATGAAACACCAAGCACTCAATGTCTTTTTAACTCATGGTAATTGAAATAGAGGTGCACATTGCAGAAATAACTAACATAGGGATCTTAATTACAACAATCCTTTGCTTTTCTCTACCCCTGCAGCTCCAGTTTACAGAATCGCTTTATACACGGAACATATGTTGTTTACCTGAAGCTTGAAGTCAGCCGGTGATAATTAAATAGCTTAGGATTGGATGAGACCATGATATAAAAAAAATAAAAAAAGACCAGTCGAGATAGTCGTGGAGTTGCCTAGACCTTCTCAAGAGAAATGCATTATGACAAGTTGTATGCAGCAGAGAGTCTATTTGAATCATCAACTATCCCTTTCAATTCTCTAATCTCAAACAAGTAAACCACCTAGATACTAAATTCCATTCACCTAACTACATGGATATGTAGCCAACCTCAGTAGTCGATCCCTCTCATCATTGTAAGAAATCACATAAGGGCTATGTTGACTCCTTCAGGCAACAAATTAACAAAGGGAAACAGTAGTGTCTTGAGAAAAGAACCTCAAGCAAACTTGTTTACAACAAACATATTCTTGGAGAAGACTTTTTCTCCATCAGCTCTAACATTTCAGATACCAACCAACCAGAACAAACTCGAAACCATGCCCCTAATATCATAAGGCCGAATCCAACAACTACAGAACGCGCAATCGAATTCAATTCGCTAATCTCAAAGAAGTAAATCTGTAATACATTGACTAAATCGAATCTAAGTTCGAATCCAGTTCAAATTCGAAATCAAGGTACGCCTGTTGAACTCGGTATTCTGATACAATATGAAAAAATACCAAATCGGATGCGGATCGAATTTGACCAAGATCAAAAGTGAAAATAGGATTCAACCGAATTTCAAACTAGTTCAGCTTAGAGAGAAATCAGAAATAGGCTATGATCTGTTACCTTCTGAGAATCGACAGGGAGGGAGGAATTATCGAATGAAGCAGACAAACTCTTTATTTGCTTTCAAAATCGTGATTCCTCTGCAGACTGGAGTAGCCAAACCTCAAAGAAGCAAATAGGGAATCAGATTAAGACGAGACGGGAGAAGAGGCGAAGCTGGAGTCAGAACCGAAATCGAGAAGAGGAGGAGGAGAAATCTAATGGAATCGACATGAGGAGACGGAAGAAGAAGAGGGGAGAGGAGAACTCGGCTGGAATTAAATAATGAACGACAAGTCGAAAACCTCGTCTCTTACCCGACCGGCCGACCACTTGAATGGCAGCTAATGAACGATAACACTTGTTTTTCATAATTACTATTACAGCCACTAAGTTTTAATAATATCAAATATAGTACCTATATAACAAATTGACAACCAAATAATTTAGTTGCAGGATTTTTTATTGGATTTGCAACCAAATTGTTTAGTTACCTAAGATTTTCAAATTTTTTGCTTAAATTCATAACCAATAATATTTGGTTGGAGAAACTAAAAATCAATATGCTACCAAATTATTTGGTTGGAAAAACTAAAAATTATTTTTTTACCAAAATTATTTGGTTGGAAAAAGTAAAATCATTTTGCTACCAAATTATTTGGTCTTTTCAAATAATACTTTGACTTTAATAGGCAACCAAATTTTTAATATTTTAGCTACCAAAATATAATTGGTTGTATATACTACCCTTTTCACAACCAATTTTAGTTTGGTTGTAAATTTTTTGGTTGCAAAAGCTAGTTTTTGTTGTAGTGATACTAGAATCATAGTTCGCCTTTTGTTTAATTAAACTAACGTAACAAGAGAAATGATGGAGATTAGTTCCCGAACATAGAAAAATTATAATTAGACATCACATATAGAATAAGTTGACCCCGTACACAGAGATAAATAAATTGAAAGCATGCAAAATCTCAACCATTATTACTCTCATAACATCTATTTAGACCGAAGATCTTGTTGCGCGGTTAATCTAAACTTGATAAAACTGGGGAGGAAAACGTGGGGTTAGGATGGCCTCAAGAGGATTGGCCTTAGGAAGGGCGATTCCCAGTCCCTCCGTCATGTCCACTGGTTTATCATTTGGGGTACCCCAATGGAACCCCTGAAGCAGCCTTGCCAAGGTCAATTGGGTCACTTGCATCCCGAAATTAATCCCCAGGCATCCCCTCCTCCCCGACCCAAACGGAAGATACTCGAATTGCTGACCGAATATCTCCATATTGGCGTTAGCGGTCAGGAATCTCTCTGGTTTGTATTGGTCCGGGTCGGACCAGACCTTGGGATCCCTGTGCAGCTTCCAGAAGTTGGCAAAGAAACGAGTCCCTTTGGGGACGTGGTATCCTTTGATCGTGATGTCCTCGGATGCCACCCGAGGCACGGAGAGAGGCCCCGGCGGATACATTCGCAGCGTCTCCTTGATCACAGCTCCCAGATACGTCAGCTTCTCCATGTCCGAATCGTCCACCCACCGGTCCCTACCTACTTTGCTGTCGATCTCTTCCTGTGCCAGCTTCATGACTCGCTTGTGGTTTAGCAAGTTGGATAGGATCCACGTCAGCGTGATCGACGTCGTGTCGGAGCCGGCCACGATCAGAGACTGGAAGAAGAGAACAAATTAAGTTATGTAGCTGCAGCTAGACGCCATAAATAATAACGAAATTCATCTCTATATATTAACAGTAATTAATTAATTACCATAGCGGTGGCCTTGATGATATCCTCACGCTTGTGACCGTAGGCGACTTCGTCCTTGATTTCGTTGAGCATGACGTCGATGAGGTCGGGATTGGCCAACTGCTGCTTCTTCTTCTTCTTGTGCTCGTCGATCCAGCTCTCCATGATGACGTCCAGCTCCTTGGAGACCCGCTTCATGGTGTTGACCACCCCTTGGAAGCCGAACCATCCGAGCAAAGGGATCAAATCGGACGGGACGAGGGTTCCGGTGACGAGCATGAACTCCCTCATCACCTGGCCGATGGGCCTCCCGCCGGAGACGGCCTGGTGGTGGTTGGTCTTGTCGAAATACCTCTTCCCGGCGACCATCCTGGTGATTATGTTGAGGACGTACCCCTGGAGAGCCTCGGTGATGGGGATCGATCCGGCCTTGGTCTGGTGGTAGAGGTCGGCGATGAGGAAGTCGACCTCGGAGATCTGGACGTGGCGGAGGGCCTTGATGCGGTTGACGGAGAGGAGCTCGGTCATGAGCATCTTCTTCATGTCCCGCCAGTAGGTGCCGTAGGAGGCGAAGCCGAAGGCGGCGTAGTTGTAGCCGAGGACTTTGGCCTGGCTGGAGTCCGGGCGGAAGGAGAGGATGCGGTCGTTGGTGGTGAAGCACTCCTTCATGGACTCGTAGTCGCTCACCACGACGGCGGAGTTGGCGCCCAGGCGGATGCTGAAGACGTCGCCGTATTTGCGGGAGAAGGAGGCCAGCTTGCGGGAGAGGGTCTGGTTGCCGCCCAGGAGGTGGAGGTGGCCCACCAGAGGCAGGGCGCCGGGGATTTCGGGGACAACGTTGCTGGGCTGGTGCTTTCGCTGGCCCATCCGCCATAGCTGGATGAACACGACCACGGCTACGGCCACCAGGATTTCGGGGAGGTGGGAAACCAGATCCATGGTAGGATTGGTTGGATCAAACGGCTGCAGCAGCAGAGTGTGTTGTGTTGTGTTGTGTGGGTCTACTGAGGATGGTATGACTATGAGATGAATTAATTAAGGGTGTATTTATACACAACTTATCTCCGCATTCTTAAATCATTCTTTCCGTGACTTAGTGTATGGCAAGTTGGAAACGTTTGCCATCTTCTGATAATGTTAATTAACATATGTTTTATTATAAAGGGAGGGAGGCAGCTGGCCGTCAAATTGGAAGGAGCAAAGCCATGCAGGAATTTCAGTATTGTAGCAAAACAGAGACTACATGTGATTGGTTGAAACTTCTGCGTACATTAATCAAGGTCGGAGCTAAAAAAATTTCAAATTAGAATGCAAGGACAAAATTATGAAAATTGTAAGTTGGTATCGTGTAGATTAACAATAATTATAGCGTCTCAGTGATCTATAAGTGTGTTAAATGATACGATCACGTAACAAAAGTGTTGATATATATCTTATTTTATATTTTTTATTCGATCTAAAGTCCACGCTGCTTTCTTCAGAGTACGTTGTGAATGGTGTTGTTCAGTCTCGCTACTATTTTTACATTTTCTGTTTGAATTCAAAACAAATTTCTCGGTTTAACTGAGCAAAGGAGTGGGGTAGAAAGATGGGTCAGGGCGTCGGGGGCATGGTTGGTGGGCAACGGCGGTAGTCAGTTGGGGCGGCGACAATACCACAAAGGAATCTGGTGATAAAGATGCAAGGAAAGGAAGCTGCAATGCAGACATCTGTTTTATTATTATTATTTTTTTTATAAATGCAAAGATCTGTTTTATTTTTCTTATAAATGCAATCATCTGTTTTGTGCCAGTCCCTGAGTTGATTTACTTGACGAGAACGAGAAGAAAAGGAGAAACAGAATTGGTGCGCCGTTGACGATTCTTCTCTATCTAATACATACAATACTCCACTTTTAACTTTCATGCAGTGAAATTCGACTGCAGTTATTGCACGCAGCAGCCAGCACAGCAGTAAAGCACCCCAATGCTGCCGATCCAAACTCCAAACCCTTATTCTCGTTTATACTTCATACGAAGTAGGATGATAATTTCGACCTGACCCGATAAATCTGTTTGATCAGTTTTGGGATAGGTCCGAATCATCCGTGGGCGGGCAGGGCATAGATACCTCTCATCGACCCGGCTTGCCTTGACCCTCCCCATTCTCGACTCGTTCTTGCATTAATTACATGTAATCTTAGTCAAATTACTTAGCATTTTTTTTATTATCTCATATTTTAGCTATAATAAAGTTGTAAATAAATGAAAATCTCAATTTCTCCAATAATTTAACTACATTTTATCATATTATGGTTTGTTTATTGGTCTTTGAATGAAAATAACGAATATTTCTAATGTTTTTCATATAAATTACATACCCATCGGGTCGACCTAACCCGACCCGCGATCCATGAGAAATTACTCAACATTGGACTCGACCTGCCACGGGACGAGTAAATAAATAGTCGTCTCATCTATTTCCCAGATTTCCTCCCCTCAATACACTAGTTATTAAAAGAAAGTCAAAATACAGTTGTATACAAAAAAACTTTCGCATTTGTGACAATAATAGCTAATTTTGGAGAAATACCACTTATAGCCAGAATTTTGGAAGGTTCGCGTCACAACATTTAACGATGTTAGAGTTTCGTCAATTATGTTAACATTATGCTGAATAGAATGCCACCTCAACGCACACGTCAATGACAAATCGACCAAACTTGCCACATAGGCGCCATGTCATAATTTAATTAATTTTTTTCTTTATATAATAATCCCCAAAGGTTTAAAAAAAAACAAATCCTCAAAGATCGAGGACCATGCCGAATTTGACGATGTCCCTTCAATCCGGTCAAGGACCATGTCAGATTTCATTTACCCGACCACCAATGAACTCCGGCTTCTCGATCGTTCTTCTCTAGCTCTTTCGCTTTAGCTTCATCTGCTTTGCTGGAGAATTTCTTCGCTAATCGTCGTCGTTTTACATGGCCACTAACTGAAAAATAATCTCTCTCTGCTTTTCTCTCCCTCCACTCCTTCCAATGGACAATCCCATGTCCCTTGTAACATGTGGCTAGGGATGGCATTTTTGCTTATACCCATGAGTTTTTTACTGTCCAACCCAATTGGGTTAGGTATGAAATCCAAATAGATGGATATGGGTAAAGTTTGATGGGTTTGTACCCATACCCATTTACTTGAATTGGGTTGGGTTTATAACAAATGGATTTGGGTTTGTACACATGCCCAAATGTAAATTACAATTTGGTACGTAAACTTAATAAATATGCATATTTAGTACCTAAATTTAATTTTTTGCATATAAGTCCTCAAAATATCGATGAAAAATTACGTTTTGGTACCTAAATTTTTTTGGTCTTACATTTTGGCACCTAAACTTTTCAAGTTTTACAAATAGGTCCAATTTTTGCATGTGTAGTTAAAACACTCTCAAGTAAATGGATATCCATATCCAGCCCATACCCATTTAGATTATGGAAGCAATATTCATACCCATACCCAACCTATCTACAAACCCCCAAACCCATATACACTTCATCCATACCCAACCCATTATGAATTGGTTTACTTGGATTTGGGTATAATTACCCATGGGTGGGTAATTACCATCGCTAGTTGTTGCTATCAGAATTGGCTATTGGTGTGTAGTTGGGTCTTTGGATGTGGAGAAATAGGAATTTTGGGTGAAAGGATTGTTGCTAGCGGAAGAGGTTGTTGGGAGAAGAGAGGGAAAGTAGGAGGAAGAGAAGGTGTGGTGGAGGAGGAAGCACAGAGAGAGAAGGGGAAGTGAGAACGGGCATATGTCACTGTGAGAAGGGGAAATGAGTATAGGTGTCAATCGGGCGGGTTTTGGTTAGGTTCAAATGGGTTGCGGGTTAGTCGGGTTGCAGGTTCGGGTTCATCTGGTTCGGATGCAAACGGGTTGCGGGATAGTCGGATTGCGGGTTCATCAGGTTCGAATTCAATCGGGTTGCAGGCAAATCGGGTTGTGGGTTCATCGGGTTTTGGGTCGGGCAGGTTGTGGGCGGATCGGGTTGCTGGTTGTCCAGGTCAGCGCATCGAGTAACTTATTACTCGTTACCAACTTACACATTTTATTACACTAATTTAAAATATTTTTCTCAACTTTTTAACCCATTCCTTTCTAACTTGTATATATACTTAATTAAAAAAACTAGTCAAAATGTTGAATAAATTTGTATTACTTGCAAACTTGTTATATAATTAATCGTAATTGGTAAAGTACACTAGATAATAGTAATGATGATATCAATATTCGCAACCAAAAGACACCATTAATTGTTTATTTAATATTTTTGTATTATTTCATTAGTAATTGGATTAAAGTATCTCGTTTAGTATAACCATGCAAATATGGTATTTGGCAAAAGCAGAGTGATAAAAGGAATTATTTCGAAATAACTCATTGCCCAAATAACTTCAGTAAACTGTTGTCAAACAATTTATTTGTAAAATTGTTCGAATTATCCTAAAAATTGATCCATTAAAAATTAACTATCAAATTTAGTAAAATTGTTGTGACTTCAATCATAACTTACTCAATAACATATATCCTATACACTTAGCCTTACACTCAATCGACAATATTAAGTTAGTGTATGTTGTTGATCGTATACTATAAACCATCAATACATTATACACTAACCACAGACCCTATACCCTAACCATATATCCTTATGAGTTGTGATTTTGCTAGTATAGTTAATTTAAATGTGAAATTCATACTTTGATGTTCAAAACATAGATGAAAAGAGATATTTGCTAATTGCTATACCCTAACCATATATCCTATACTCAACACTATATACCCTGTACCCTAACCACGAGCCCGCCCGTTATGCATTGCATGAAAGAACAGTCACTCACATCGGTGAGGGCTACGTTATGCCACCTGCCCTTATCTTGGTAGTACTGCTTTAGCAAAGCGAACGGTATGATATTTCTATAAAAGAGTGACGCTAAAAAAAAAAGCAGAAGTGATGTTCGAGATCACCTCTCTTAGGTACCATAAACATAAACTAAAAAGGGATCTCCTGCCGTTAAAGACTTCAAATGACTTCAAGTGAACATATGTTAATAAAAAACTTAGAACAGTAAAAATCATTAATACCTTATACCCTAACCATATACACCCTAAACCATATGTACCTTAACAATCGTATGACTGAGTTATTGCAACCGTATGACTTAACATGCTAATTTTAACCTGAGAAAAATCAAGAACTGTACGCGGAAGAGACAACGAACACGACATTTTTTAACGTGGTTCACTCCTGCAGTATGCAAGAGCTACGTCCACAGACTAGGGTTCTTATTTGATATTGTGTTTTGCCAGTGGCCTTACATGTGAATAATATATATGCTTCTGTACATCATCAACGCAACTACAGCAAGCATTACACGCCCTACTCGGAATAGACGTCGAGTCCTTGGACTTGTCATACGATGGGCCTACATCAATATTCTTCCGGCCCAATACGCCCCCGCAAGCTGAACTGTGGAGGTCACGAACATTCAGCTTGGACAATAGAAACTGGAAATGCTCAGAGCCAAGGCCCTTGGTGAATAGATCCGCGAGCTGAAGCTGTGAGCTGACCTTACGAGGGGAAATGTCTCGAGACACCACGCGTTCTCGGACAAAGTAACAGTCCATTTCCACGTGTTTGGTGCGCTCATGGAAAACAGGATTAGCTGCGATGTGTAACGCAACCTGATTATCACAATACAATGGAGTCGCAGCGAGCTGGGGCACATCTAGCTCACTGAGCAACCAACGAAGCCAGATGACTTCACTAACCGTGCTGGCCATCGCACGATATTCTGCCTCAGCAGAAGAACGACCCGTACTCTCACAGCCGCCCCAATCTGCATCACAGTAAGCAACGAGGTCAAGTGTGCCTGCAGCAGGAAAATACAAACCTTGTCCTGGAGACTGCTTGAGGTAACGAAGGATGCGCACTGCCGCATCCATATGAGCTTGCGTGGGTGCATGAACGAATTGA